AGATTATGGCATTACGACTAGCATTACGTGCACACTTTCGCGTTAAATTATTCTTACAGCGATTATTTATTCAAAAGAGATTCTATTTTTGCTTTCAGTTTCCTGACTGAATTATACTTATAAATATATCCTTATTGTTGAAACGTCTCGCTCCGTCGTTTCTTTGATTTATGAGAAATGTTACGAGCAATATAGTTTTTATCAACCGCACAACTTTCTTATTAAATTAGCATAACGTTCTTTATGTCATTTTTTTACAATAAATTCACCGATGAGGAGAAAAACAAAGAGAGAAAGAGAGAGAGAGAGAGAGAGATCGGTGAATTTATTGTAAAAAAATGACATAAAGAACGTTATGGTTTTCAGTTTTTTTTTTTTTTGAAACACTTATTGTGTGTATTTGCGGAATTAAAACTCGGGTCTTTTTCGATTTTCTACCCTTTTGGCGCTTCTTTATCCCGGAGATATAATATCGAAAACTATCCACACGATAACATGTGCGGCTTTCGCAACTCGCTATCAAAAGTTACATCGCATATTTATCAAAACCATGTTTTGCTATGAGACGAAAAAGAACGTATCTAAATATAGGTAGATTTAAACAATTTAAATATCGTGCATCACAATAGAAAGTTTTTCTATGCTTTTTGCATCGAAAGCGACATTCCTGCATTCTCGAAAAGCATAAAGGACACTGGAAATGTTTTATTACAGCACATTCAAGTCGTTAGTTAAAAATGTGTTCAAATATAAACTGACACAGTTTTCTTTAAAGGGATTGCATCTCCGAAAGGTGAATTCCTGTTCGTGTTTTCGCTTTAACGCTCCACAGATCTCAGAAAGAAAAAGGAAAAGAAAAAGTAAAGATAGAGCTAGAAGCCAATATTGGCGGCCAGACGGGCGTATAGATATTAATCCGCCCCTTCTCTTTCCTTTCCTCAACGAGGGCGAGGCTCGATTGTGGTAACAGATTGTGGTAAACTTTATCAGCCTAGGGTTACTCGAAAGTGCGCTCGCGGTGTCGGTACGCGAGACTGCAATAACATTTACCACAAACTTTTACTACAGCTCAAATGTTCCTGCCCTACTACCCCCAAGCCAAGGTATTCACCGACGAGCGGGCACTACGTTCTAACAATTGCCACTGCAGCTACAATGGCACGCTTTACTGCCGCGCGGTGGTGTAACTTGATACAATAATGCGCGTTCCGCGTCGTTTACCTAGAAAGAGTTGACTTACGTGACGAGGAAGGCCATGGCTTCTGGCATCCCTAGATCGATATAAACGTATCATCTCAAGCGAGAATAAACTGCGCGCGTTCCATTTTGAACGCGTTTTTGATTAAACGGTGGAATATAATTTGGGTAAAAATAACATTCCTATATGTGGATTAATCAGATTAATTTTAAACGAAATTACTGCAGCTAAAAATAGCTTAATCTAAAAAACATCAAGATCTTTTACATATTTTTCTTAAAAAGAAAAGAAAAATGACTTGTGTCATTCTCTTAAAAATTCAATATTATTTTAGTTGTCTTATAATATCTGCACACATATGCAACGAGGGAAATTCCGATTTTATTTTACGAAATAGCATAAAGTGTTTCACAACACACTATTATTTTAACAACAAATTAGATTTGCTATAAAAAATATTTTTTTCAAATATTCTGTATCACAATCTGAAAATAATAAAATAACTTGTTCGCGAATTTAAAATAGGAACACACTGTGTACTAACTACATACATAGTGTGATAAAAATGTTAAATTTTTTAGCAACGTTTCTCGTTTAAAAAATATTTTAAAACACATTATTTTAATTATAACAAATGTTTTCCAGCGCATCTTTTTTCTACATTTAAAAAAAATTAAATCTAATATCCACTCTCCAGTTGTGATGAAAAAAAGGGGAATTAGCGACTGAAGAAACGTATTTTTTTCGATATTCGTCGTACATAAAATTATTTATTCTGAGAGCATTTAAGTTTTATATGGAAAGTTTGTACCATATCGCTCATATCAATCGCCTTTCTAAAAACGTAAGATTATTAACTTCTACTTGAGGTTTCCATGGACTGTAGTTTTATGAATCTTGTTGTTACATTATATACTTTTAGTCTACTAGCTTAATACTTTTCCATACAAAAAGCATCGTGGTTTACTTCTCCCTACATTATTCGCTAACGTATGATTTTCTACTCGTTCACAAGAGGGTTATTTGTAAATAACCTCTCACGCGATTTAATAACTTCTCTCACGCAAGTCGCATAGAATTTGTGGGATATAACGCAAAGAAATAAAGAAATGAAAATTTCACTAAGTCTACATTTTAATAAAATTGAATTCCAAATTGGAAAAATTTCTTTTGGTCTTGATGAAAATTAACAAATATATGTATTATTCATATTCATACATAAAATAATTAATAATTTTTTATATTAAGTAAGCGGAAAATATTACTTTCTTCCGAAATTTTTTTTGATATATTAAAGGGGTCTTTAATTCGTTCAGAATTTAAAATTCTTTGAATTCATCGAACGCGTCACTTTTATTGTCAGTCAAAAGCGTCGGAGCGATTTTTAGAAAACTGCCAGAAAATTTCATTGTGGCAATCTGTCGACCTGCAATAGGTAGAGCTATAGAATCATCGTGCACGGAAACATTCCGTCGGCGGGCTGCCATCAGCAGGGCTATATGAAACCCTGACGTGGCTGGCAGGGTTGTAATTGTCGCCCTTTGTCCGTCATACGAGCTTGCGGAACCGCTCGGCGGTGAACCGCAAGCTTTACCAACCCTGCTAGAACCACTGAGCCGTACAAGCATTATCGCATCAGGTGCTTAATCCTTGGTTTATCACCTGCGATGCCGACCCGCGCGCGAACAGTCTTCGTTTCCTTGTTGTTGCGAGTTTACTGCTGACGCATCGTATAACTAGGAATTGAATGAAACTGCATGGGGATGGATACTCGCAGATAACGGAGCCCAGTGATTCAGTTTTATACCCTTAATGCCATTGATCTTTTCCTTTTATCGCTTCCTCTTATATCGTGCAAAGAGTGTCACTAAACTATTTTTCGCTTCTCTTTTAGCTTTAGTTTTTGATCAATTTAACATTGACTTTTTATAAGATTTTTTTGTTACCTTCTAATATTTAATCTTTCTAATTAAGATTTAAGTTAAAATTTTATTAAAATTTATTCATTGTGGTAGTAATTGTGTGGTCCACGACACAAATTGCAAGACAGTGTCGTTTGTTGGTATCTGCTCGGCACAACCAGACGATAATGGATCGTATAAATACCGAGGTTACATATAATAAATTCCAACTACCTCTCGTAGTATTTCCCATAGGTAACACTTATTATTTTAGTCGGCGGCAAGATGCGGAAAATAGGGGTGAGTATCGATAAACTCGGTACGCTTCGCGGAATATATCCAGAATAACATAAATATCGCAGTAAAAGGCGTGGCCCAAATATTGCGAGCATTATGAAAAGCCATAAACCACTACCCTAAGGGCAGCCGCTGCACGGATCGATATCCGCGCCGCGACTTGCAGCGACTGCGGATCGTCGCAGGCGAATGTACCCCAGTAGCATGCATCGTTACGCGAGAAAACGATGGCTGTAAAAGATGCAACGTCGACGAAGCGATCACTCCAGGAATCGTTCCGTAAACGGCTGTCACTTGTTCTTTGCCGCAACGTGGTCGCACGATGGAATTAAATTCGTTACGTGACCACGTTGGAAATGACGATGTTGGGATACTTTGAATGACTGTCGAGTTGAAACAGTCAACCGCTATTGCGAGATCGCAAAGACAAGTGTCACTATCATCAGGTCTTGATCTTAAATACGGATATATTACGTTTTAGCTCGTGCTATTATTACGAATTAGTGCATCAAAGATTGCGGAAAATGAATAGCTCGTAATTGAGAAATTTATTGCGTTTATTAACGGATGAAGAACAAATTAAGTATGGAAGCATTCGATATATATGTATCTGAAAGAGCTGAGCGAATTGCGAAATTTCTTCGCATATCCGTCGAATGTGAAATCACCGAGTCGATATTTCGAAACTAATTCGGCGGAAAATGATCACGTCGCATTTTGTATTATTTTCAGAAAATATACGTCGCGTTGTCTTTTTGACATTGAGACGGATCTCGTGATAAAACTTCATTTACGATCGACGAAATTTTTTCATTTGGTTAAATATCAAAACAACTCTTTTTGTAAAAAGTCTACGGTCCGAAAAGCATTCGTGTTTTGTTGCGCTTATTAACTGATCTTTTATCAATGTTAGCGCGTTTATCGTTCCAACAGAATAAATTCGATGTATTTTCTCAAAGGCTGTGGCGTTGAAAGATCATAGGGGTTTTCTACAGTTAGCGTAGCGATTGACGATACACAGATCGGTGATTCGCAGTCTTTCGCGCTTTTGCATACGCGTGGCTATGATAACGTCAGGTAAAATCCGAAATGCTTCTATCCAAAAGCTTTGCCTAAGGTATCGACAGACATAAGCGTTCCGATCGGCACAAAATCCTGAATTCGATTAACAATCTCCGCAAATTGATTTTACTCTATCGGAAACAAGATAATATCGATGAAACCTGTCACTATTTCGATAATTCATTTACGATATTATATTTCTCATAGATATTATTTTATCTTTATTTTGTGTGTAATAATTGTTTAATAGCATATATTTTGATACATCATGATACATTTTTACATTTGATATCATGCGATTAATTACTGAATGCAGTATTTTTTATATTATATTTTATTAATATACCTCTGCATAGAGTGAGAAATTAACTTTTAATTAGTTATATTTAATTATAGCTATTATATCGGTATTTATTTTGTAATTATTTAAAATCGATAAAATGTGCGCCGTTATTCGTGATGAGCAATGCGGATGAATATCATCACTTTTTTTTCGTAAAAATTTGCGTAAATTATATACAAAGAAAGTAATGTGTACTCACTTGTTTCCGGAATTCTGGGATCATGAGTGACTAGAAGTTGGGCCGCAAGTGAGGTCTGATGACCGGAAGTACTCTCAGCCACGCATTCGTATCTGCCACTGTCCTCAGACTTCGCGGAGGATATCACGACTTTCGATCTCCGCCTGTAAATTTTAAAAATTATCTATTTAAATACAGGAATATTGTAATGTTTCATGCTAAATTTCTATTTATGAATAATCGTAAACTTCAAGCTGCAGCTAAATATTAAAGATATATTAGGTATTGTTAAATTTTTATCGTTATTAATAATTGTTGCGCAGGGTTATGTAATGACTTCCGCCAGGTATTGTGGTTAAGATACGTGTAATTATAAGTCTTGAATACAATAGGCAGTGTGTCTGTTGGAAAAGGTAATGCAACGAAAAGAAACTTTATACACACTGCAACGTAACGAACGAACGACAAGACAGGTAGAGTACATAGATAGTGAGAGTATATAGTGAAACGCAGTAAGCGCTCACGCAACGGAACTTTAATTTTCCCTAGCATGCGTGGCGTGTCTGTGCGAACATAGAGGCGCTTCAAGGCGCTAGAGCGCCATATTCAACAATAATGTCACAGATAACGTAGAGACTAAATAATCATTATGTTCAAGAGATTAAAAAAAGAAGCTGTAATAAACGGCGCACGATCGTATCTCCGTACAGTTATTTAATTACGAACATATACAACTTCGAATCATTGCACTGGCCCAGATTCAATCGGCCAGTCGGAACAAAATTCGGACTTTAATTATTATGTTCGTGAATCTGTACACGCGCGTTCATCAATCGATTTTCCTTAACCGATTTTCATTTCGTCAATCGCTCGACGCATGGCAATCCCGGAATTAACCGTCGCGGGCGGTTCGCATTACATCGAATTTACTGACGCGTCGATAACGGAATTAAATAGTCGATTTGCCAGAACGGAACCGTTGACGCGTGCCGCGGTAATGGTTCAATAAGCTCGGTCGGCGAACTGCGAATCGGAAATTCGCTTCGTTATTAGCCGCGACGAGTGTTTCGGCGCCTCGATCTCGCCATTACGCCAGCCAAACGGTCGAATGTGGGTTATTTGTGATTTCAGCAAACTATTGAATTTTCTGTCTTTGCATTATCATCCCATCAATCGCAGAAACTGCGGTTATTATCGCGTTATAAGATTTCATCGAGCGCCAATGATACTACGCTATCCAAATCGCGTTTCTAAGTTGCACTTCAATTACTGCGATGATTGCTCGAATGCCAAAAACTTCATGATTACGCGATCGGAAATTACATCGAGAGAGGCCACCAGAGTTCGTAGGTAGCACGCTAACGAAATTAAACGGAGTCGCATGATCGCAATGTAATTTTCATCGAACATGAGAGTGGACGTGAGAGAGAAGAATTAATCCGTAACTGTACTAACTGTACAGAGGACTTTGAAAAACTCTCAGTTAACCAATAATTGCGTGCTATATCGCTATTATATATGTCGTTTAGATCGAAAGTACGTAATTCTGAAGAGTATAAGAGCTATTTTGATAAAATGGGATCCTTTCAACGTTTTACTAACATTTCAAAGAATTTGTTCTATTATAAGGAAAGAAGTTTGCGGAGAAAAATATAACAATTTAACAAATAAATACTTGGTAAGTATATTAATTCATCCAATATAAAATTTAAAAGAAAATCGTAAGAGACAGATGGTTTAGAACAATAAAAACGACCGATGAAAGAAACTATTATTCCATTGTAGTGATCACCCAGCTTTCAGCAATATTTTGTAATTTAGTAATTATTCTCGTTAAACTATCTTAATTGACGAATAATTGTTTGTGACGTCAAGTCACTTTCATAGATTTTATCTGTCTGATGTTCTACATCGAAGAACGCGTCATCAATATATATCTGCGATTTGGACTAGTATTGACCTGTAAATAGTGTAAATGACCGAATATCAGCGAACATTGAGACACTTTTATTTTTTCAGAAACGATGTTTCTTTCTTCTCATTCATCGTTTATAACGATCAATTAACTCATCGCCTGTTTCGTATACGGTTGATATTCAAGTTCTTACGACTTCATCGATTTCCCTAATGGGTACGCAACATCCCGTAGCTTTATCCACACGCGCCAAATGGTGCGTTAACTCGTTTCACGGTTAGGTCGAGTTTATCAGCGTCGAATAATGGAATTAGACGACCTATTTGTCGAGGAGGAAGGCAGATGGAGGAGGAAGAGGCAGTAGGTAGTCGTAGATTCGCTCCATATCGTCACGTTTGAGTAACTTTGGTTACCGGGGTACCGTAGAAGAAGGGGAGGGGGAGGGGAATTAACTTATTATTATCTTCGCCGGGATTTCGAAATCCTCCGAACGGAGTTGCTCTCCGAGCCGAATGGCTGCCGCTCAAAGAGATTCCATAAAGTTCGGGTGGGCAGGAAGTTCTCTTCCTCTCCCCGGGGAAAATCGGGAACTCGAATATCCACGCCGCAGTAGAGAGCAAAGCGAAATTTCTCTGGACTCTTTCTAGCCGGGGTAAACTCGTTTTTCCGTACGAGAGAGCCCGCGCGATCTCCACCTGCGAAAGTCCCATATTTTCGAACGTGCGAGGAGAACAAATTTAATAAGTTCAAGTGCGCACGTACCCCGAAATTCAGCCGACGAGATCGACGAAAGTAATTCTAACGGTCAAAGTCGATTCACGCTTTATTTCTGATTCATGTACTTCATGCGAGGTATTAAAATCGATATAATATTGGTGAATTCAATTTTTTCGATGCCATCGCGGCATAAAAAATACGTCAATCTCACCTATTTTACCACAAATAAGCGTAAAAATGGTTTTTCAATTTCAAATTTACTGGAATAATTTTTACTTTTCATATATTTTTGCAGACACATTATACAATTTTTTGTGCGCTACTGATACTTTTAACTGACACAGCAAAAAAATCACTTACTCTAAAATTGCAATCAAAATACGTTAACTAAAATAAAAATTACTTACAGTCAATCCTGATTTTTATATTTTCTGCAGTTGACTAGATTAAGGACAGATATTTGAAATAAATTAAAAGAGCCGTAAGTTTTTCTGAGTATATTTAGATCAGTCTGCTGTATGTACCACCTTTCGACTCTTGATTTCTTCTCGAGTCGATTTTTAGTTTTAGAAAATATAAAAACCGAGGTTTAATCTTGTTTATTAATTTCACTCATCAATTTCTCATGATTTTTATTTTATAATATTAGATCAATATCTTTGATTCAGTTTTGGATGTATCATAATAATATTATAGGTAATGAAATATAATTAAATGCGTGTTGAAAATTGTAACAAAATGTTAAAAATGGTTATAGAGATTTCTTAAATTTTACAATATTTTTAATTATATAGTATCTTATAATTTTCGGCGTATATCTTACTGGGTTGTTTCACGAATTTCGAGAATTCGACAGAAATCCTCAATTGTTTTTTGGAAAATACGAAATTTTTGGAATAATTGCGATGCCTTTATATTTCTATCAAGACGTGGTAAGGAAGAAGTTATTGTCTGTCTCAAGGAGCAGTGATTTCTTGTTGAAAATACTACAGCAGTGCGCCACGGAAGGCGTGTTGCGATGCCAGAAATCTTTGCTAAACAGATTTCATTTCATTTACATATCTCTGTATTCCTTGCCGGACCTGAGGAAGATCTCCGACTGCCGTTTTATCTTCCGTCGCCATTGCTCAGCGTATCAACGTCAAAAGGTCGTAGAAAAGGGAGATTCGCGAAATACGCTACGCGTTATAATTAAACGCTTGCATTTTTTACCTGGTTCTACTTGACACCGACTAACGAGTTTCTGCTGGTCATAGCAGAATGAGTCGCGAGCTATTAACTATAGTCGTGAATGAATAGATTGTGTGATAAAAACGTCATATATTCTGACTGCGCTTTGCGAAAATTTTTCATATATATAGTTATCATACATGATATTTTGAATATTGTACATGTAAAACGTTAGAAAAAAGAACAGTACATTAAAAAAGAATTCTGTACATACATATATATAGCGCGGTGAAAATTTTTCGAAAAATAAGTAACATAAATTTTAAATAAATATAAACGCATAAAATATAAATACGAATAAAATAGAAAGTTTCCGAGCATTGACGAAAGTTTTATGTAATTTATCCACTGTAAAAAAATTCTGTAAAATTACAACTATTATAGTGGGTAATTTTGAGACCCACTATAATAGTTGTAATTTTACAAAATTACAGTACGGAAGGAAAAAGTAATTTTGTATTACAATTACACAAATTAAGAATGTGTGGAAATTTACACCTATTATAGTGGGTCTCAAATTACCCACTATAATAGTTGTAAATTTTACACAAATTTTTTACAGTGCTCATACATGTCAATCGTAAACATTAATTACGTAATGTTTGATCATATAGTCAGTAGTCAGATTATGTGGTGTTTCTTTCAGCGTACGATGAAATAAAATCCGTTTGCAACGCAACTATGAATTGCATGGAAAATCACGGGTGGTCGATGGTTGTATTATGCGAGAGAGAGAAGTAAACAGGAGGGAGTCTCTAACCGCGATCTTTATAAAGGAACGCCATTGTGAGATTAATTGTGATGCAAACGTGAATAGAAAGAGAGCGGAAAGAAACGTTCGAATTGTCCTGAATCTTTTTTTGGCGGGTGCAGCAACAGCTGCAATTCGTAAAATGAGCCGAATGCAATGCATATACGCGACCGTGCAAATATTGTAATGGCATAATTGGCACGACGCAACTTTGCAGATGTGGTATGCTATCGTTACGTCGATTATTCGACTCGATTCGGGACACGCGGCGCCTGTCATTTCGAATTGCTCTTCGGACGATTACTGCATCATCGTCCGCAACGCAGTCGACACATGCTGACCGTCCTTATACTCGTATCCACCGTGTTCGTGCAATTCAGATCGCAGTTAAAACGCCGATTGAAGTAACAATCGCAATTTAATCGAACGTTATTTGCTCGGATCGCGACAATGTCACGCTCATCTGAATTTTAATTTCATTCGACGTTTTTGCCGTACATACATTTTACATAATATAAATACAGGATATTTCTTGTAATAATATGGAGAAT